ACAAAAAAAATTCAAATCTGGTTTTTGGGCAGGTTATTTAAACACAATTTTGCCACAAGGCATGATCAAATCAAATGCCTGAGGGAGGTTGCCGGAGGGGGGGGGGGAGGTTGAAGTTTTGAATTGTTAGATGTATCATTAGTTTGTTTTTTCACAACACCTATGTTTCTTCTATCTGCAGGATGTCTCACATAACACAAGAATGATGCTTGAAGATCTCACAACAATTTCAACATTACTGGAGAGCATTTTGGGAACAGAAAAACTGCTACCTCTTACAGTTGATGTTAATTATAAATAGTCTAAGATTCGATTAAATAAACTGTTTTATTCTACTTATTTCTTTTATTAGTGCTTTCAAATAGATGCAAAAATCCCTTGTGTCCAGTAATCCCCCACTTCAATATTCTGCATCGATAGTAAAAAACAGACAGGAAAGGGTTTGTGAGATCATCGGCTAAATGCATTGAGGCTAACACATTGATGGCATGACTATGAAATGGCTTCAACAAACTCCCAATCCGTCTAGATACACAATCAGCCCTTGCTGATTTCATATATCATCCGATTATCTCTGAAAACTTAAACAGAAAAATCTCTAAGGACACGCTTGTGAGAGCAAAAAATACTATTTGAAGGTGATAATGCGACGCGACCACTAAAGCCGCGTGGGGAATCCGTGCAGTCTGCCCTTGCCTTTACTCTCTCTGGTTTTGGGGATTTATTTATTTTTATTTATTTATTGCAATTTAATCGCAGAAATACACGGGTGCAGGTATGATACAGTTAATTACCAGTAATTAAAAAAAAAATGCCACAAGGAGAATCTGCAAAAGAGTCCCAGACCCCATGTAACAGCAGATCACCCAATACATATAGTGTGAATGAGATACTTTTTTATATAATTACGAATCAACTTAACGGCCTGCTCCCAGTTGGCTTGTTAGCTCAATTGGGAGAGCGCTGCACTAGTATCGCAGAGGTCAGTGGTTCGAATCCTGTACAGGCCTGGTTTTTTTCAGGTCTGATTTTCGCTATTGCTTAAATAGCGCTATCTACTGCGAGGATCGTGCATCATACGTAAATATCAAATTTGCAACAAAAGCCAGCATCTTACTTTTAATTCTTCTGCTCTCCAAGTGCCTCAGTTGCATAACGAGGCCGTAGTTGGGGGGGTCCGTTGGGGCCCCGTGACTCCTCTCCCCTCCCTTGCCTTTCCCCTATCTAGTCTCTAAAGTCAATAAAATATATAAATCTTATAATTAAAGTTTCATGAAAAGCGCGTAATCTGAAGAATCTGCACCACAGGAGAATTTTCCATTTGTCGAACCTTCTCGCTGTATGAAAGCGAGCCCGCTGATACGCGGAGAAGCAGAATAAGCAAAACAAGGCGTTCAAACTCATGACTAAGTCCCCTCCCCCCAGGTAAGCCCCTGCCCACCCCTCAAACACATCCACCCACATACCTTTCTAATTATCTACTTGTTCTTTCTGCGTTATTCTTTTTGATTTTCAAATTGCTATTCAAGTACATTGTGTGCAGAGTAAAAAGGCATTCCTCCCAACCGCACACGACGGAGTCATTTTTCTCTTGGTTTCAAGCACTCAACAGAATACACAATTTCAGGTGCAGTTTCAACCAAAGCACTGCTAGACTTAAATATAATGGCGCCAGAAAGGAAAGCCATAGTACCGACCAAGTAAGTCAGTTTAAGTTCTCGTCTCTGTGTGAAACCTTAGATCCAACTGTTATCTAACTTTCCCCTCACGACCCGCTAAGCTTCGACTACACCTTCCTTACTAAGAGGGGCGCAGTTTTTATCGGTTTAGAGTAAGACAAGAGGTCTTCGCCCAACGTGCAGCTTTTTCTATTATTATTTTGTACTGTGATAAAAAAAACATTTGCCTGCCATCTGATCGTTCATCTATAACTTATATTGTTGATATTTAAAACATGTTGTGAACTGTTTCAATTTCATAAACCGTAATTGTTTAAGATTCACTTTGGATGTTGAAGTATTTCTTTTGATTGTAATACTTTGCATTTCCTGAGTAACTGTTAACCCGTCGTTCAAATCAATCTTATCGTCCCTCTGAAAAGTAAGTTCTTGAAGGGGCTTTTTTTGGTTGAATGCCCATTCTCTTATTGACGCAGTAGAAAATGTAGATATTTTTGGCAGCTGACCACGTTTCGCGCATCACGAATTTCGTAGTTACGACCTCCATAAAGAGGTGACGTTTGATTTCCCTTTTTGGAGTTTCATCGCTAAAACAAGCACATGTGACTCGGTCAGTTCGGCCGTAGTTCTGCTGTGTCAGTCACTTTGATCAATTCACACTCCCATAGTCCATTACAAGAAAAAGGTTGAACATATGCATACTGACAATGGAAAATTGTAGAGTCGGTGGCAATAGCCTTGATCCTTCTACATTACAGTATTGCAGTATGTTCAATTATAAAAAATAATTTATTGAATGAGCAAACACATCGGAAACTCAGAAAAGCGGCTAATTTTGACCCTTCCCCACTTCATTTAACTTTCCGCATCATTACTTGCACAGTAAATCTAGTAGATTTAACAAGATAAACAAGTTTAAGGTGCAGTAAAAAGAGAGCTTTAATTTAGCTTAGGTCTGTCACTCATAAAGATGCAATGCTGCTGAATACCTTAGCTGAAACTTCTGAATACCTTGTACTGAGAGAATGCAGTAATATCCCATCATGCTGAAGGCACAGGCAAGCCAAAATCACCCACAAATTATAAGAAGACCGAAACAGTTTTGTGGTTTTCCTTACAAGTTCCTGTTTATTAAAGAGGAAATACGCTCAAACTGCAATTATTCTTTGGACTGCAACATGCGAGATTCAAGAAGTAGCGGTTAATTAACCTAAGCGGCAGAGATCACGTTTGTGGGTGAATTTCGAAACGAGCGGGAAGTGCCCTCAACGACATAGAAGGAAATTTTTATGGTTACAAAGCTGAATGACAGCGATGTCAGCTGCTCAGAGGAAGAAGCAGAACTTTTGAGCTCTGAAAGTAAGACTTGTGAGAGTTTGAGCATTGAAAATACAAATTCTGGTAAGGACAAAAAAGTGCTGATTCTCTTCGGGGTAAGACGAGAGATCTTGGCCAAGCTCACATTTTTTTTTTTTTTTCTACTTTGTGCTGTGTTAAGAAAGTGTCGTTGGTATCCCATCGTTTTATTTCAGCTGGACTTTGCTCGGCAATCGTCGAGTGGCATCCAACTGAAAATTATTCAGACTTCTTAGGACTAAGTCTCAAAGCAGGTATTCGCAGCAGATATTCACGTTAGGGTAAAAAGGGACATCTCCACCTGACTTGCAGTTTTTTTACTCTGTACTCTGATATCAAAATTTACTTCTGATATCAAAATTTACCTGCCATCTGCTGATTTAAACACAACCGAATTCCTCCAGATTATACAACATTATGTAAAATTGCACTGAAACTTCTTCAAACTTGAAACTCTATGTTAGGGTAGACATTCTCAGTTGCCATGAAAACCTTTTTAAGAAACGGTTCTGTAAAAATTAGACCCAAGAAAAGAACCACCGGGATCTTGTATAAAACGCTCTGTGTGGCCGGCTAATTTCTGGTCCAATAACTGGTATTGTGAATAGTTTTTAAATTTGCAGACAGTATTTGTTTTAAGATTTATTTTCCATATTTAGATATTCTTGTTCTGATCATTCTAAATAATTGATATTTCCCAGTAAAGTATAAAATGCGTTGTGCATATTTTTGTTATCATCCATCTGAAAATTGAGTTCGTAAATAAGTTTTTCTGGTTGAATACCCTTTCTGTTACTGACACAGTAGTATGTAAATGAGGTTGGCAGCAGGCATCTCGCATACCAATAATTTCGCAGTGAAGACGTCCTTCAGAGGGTAGCATTCTATCTGGCTTTCCTGAGTGAAACCTCTGTGAAAAAGCAAGGAGATATCCAGTTCCAACTCAAAAACATCCATGACATAGACCTCGTCAAATGCAGCGGAATCCTCCACTAATATCGATACTTGTCAGACTCAAGTATTCTGACTTGCTTGCTGCAGCCCCCTTTGTATGTGTGTTCATAGAAGGTCTTCGTCTGATAAGATGAATTAAACACGCATTTTCACCGGCTCTTACTTACAGTCTATCAGAGAATAGACATATTATATCAGCTTTTCTGTTATTATGTAATACATATTCAAGAGTTGCGGCGCGTTTGTCGAGTAAGTTGCAAAAGATTTGAAAAAGTGGTAAGGACAGCGGAGACACACTTGGCTGCGCCTTGTGCGTAACTTTTGCATGCTCTTGGCATATTTTGACGTTATCTGTGATCTATCACCAGAAACTAAAATCCACGGAGACATGCGATATATTTCTTACAGATTTTCATGTGAGCCTTTCTTTTTATTATTCATTTAGCCAAGGAAGGGTTCGAAATACTTGACCTTCACTTTTTAACCAGATGAGTAAAATTTTTCAAAAATTGTTGTGGCTAGCGAGCTTTCCGAAGGGGTTATCACGTTAACCACCTCTAGGCTATTTAGAATGAGAAGAATCTTCTTCAAGAGAGTGATTTACATTTGCAAGTCTTTCTCGCTGCAGCAATGCGAGCCCGCCGATACACACAAAAGAAAACGTAGAACGCCTTCAAATTAAAACTAAACCTCCCCCTTTGTTGGCCCCTACCCACCCCAGCCCCTTCTTATGTTGTTGTTGTGTTTTGATGTATATTCCTAATTCAACTGAGTGTAATTATGTTGAACCCACACACGATGGAGACGGAAGCAATTTTCTCTTGGCTTCAGGCATTTCACAAAACTTTCGTATTTTAGTTGCAATTTTAGCGCAATCCCTGAAACCCTCATGATACACGAACCAGAAAAAAGGGGGGCTCCATTATAGTAAGTACTGCAAGAAAAGGCAACATGAAGTGCTACCACCACGGTAGATCAGACATTACGTAACTAGTTATTATGGGTTATAGGGATAAATTCTCCCACTTCATCCTCCCTTCAAATATAAATATCTAACACTCCAGCTTCTCAAAAATGCGTAAATCTGAAGAATTCTGCATCGCATAAGTCTCTCAGTTCCGTTGGCCGATCGTTCTCGCTGCAAGAACGTGAGCCCGCTTGGGAAGAGCAGTGGTATAGACCACTTTACCCACAGCGCTTTGCATGACAATCTAAACTGTGACCTTCCCCCCTAGTACGCCCCTACCAACCCCTCAAACACACCTGCTTACACACCTATTTTTTTTTTGTTTTACTACTTCATCTTGAATGCAGACTAAATGGTAGCCGTAAAACCGCACACGACAAGGACAATTTCTTCGTCGATTTCAAGAACTAAAGCTACAACTTTTACCTTGCACTGCAGAGCATTTAGATATTCGAGCCAGAAAAAAAATTCATAACTCCGACCAAGTAAGTTAGTTTCAGTTTTCTAGCGATAAGTAACACGATCAGCTGCGATAACATAGATCAGACTTAAGAATTATATAACCAGTCTGTTAATCCGCTCTATATGTCGACAGCACTTTCTCTTCTACGGAAAAAAACAGTTTTTTGTTTTCTTTTTTTTTTTATCATCACTTCAGGCTAAGACGAGAGATCCTGGCGTAGCTCAGTTGAATTTTTTTTCTACTTTGTGCTGTGTTTAGAAGGTGACGTTTGTATCTCATCGTTTTATTTCAGCTGGACTTTGCTCGGCAATCGTCGAGTGGCATCCAACTGAAAATTATTCAGACTTCATAGCATTAAGTCTCAAAGCGGGTATTCGCAGCAGATATTCACGTTAGGGTAAAAAGAGACATCTCGATCCGCCTGACTTGCAGTTTTTTACTCTGTACTCTGTTATCAAAATTTACCTCTGATATCAAAATTTACCTGCCATCGGCTGATTTAAACACAACCGAATTCTTCCAGGTTAAACAACATTATGTAACATTGCACTGAGACTTCTTCAAACTTGAAACTCTCTTTTAGGGTAGACATTCTCAGTTGCCATGAAAACCTTTTTAAGAAACGGTTCTGTAAAAATTAGACCCAAGAAAAGAACCACCGGGATCTTGTATAAAACGCTCTGTGTGGCCGGCTAATTTCTGGTCCAATAACTGGTATTGTGAATAGTTTTTAAATTTGCAGACAGTATTTGTTTTAAGATTTATTTTCCATATTGAGATATTCTTGTTCTGATCATTCTAAATAATTGATATTTCCCAGTAAAGTATAAAATGCGT